TTCGCGGCATGTTTGGGCGTTGGCTTAGGGGCTCAGAAACCCCTGGTACTCAAATGCTGGACATGCCATTGATCCTCACAATAGAAAAACTACAATCATCAAAGTCGATGATGATCTCGATCTAGGCCTTGTCCCGCTTGACATTCAAGGCGCCTCCCCGTCCCCCACTTGACCCGGGAGTCAGGTTCACTCACAGCCAGACAACCAGAGTACCGAACGTGGCAAAGCAAGCTACATCGATAGAGGCATGGTGTCCCGGGCTAGAATTCCAGCTGTCTCGCCCGTTCACATCTGGTCAGCCTCTGGCTGCAGCCGAGCCGCCGCCCGTCTGGATCCGGTCTGGCTTCATGCCTTCTGGTCGCGGGGTTGACTGGCACTCCTGGCTTGCCAAGCCTGCGCACTCTCTTGTTCCCCATTCGATTCTTTGTCTCCGAGCTGGATCATATCTCTGGGCAGACCTAGCCTGAACTCCTTTCGTGGGCAGTTCCGTTATTTTCTGGAGGTTTGCAATCCTTCTGCGTCTTCAACCTTGGTCGTGTTCCTCGTCACATTTCTCCCTTGAACCACGTTCATCTCCGCGCAGCATTCCATTGCTCGCTCCTACCAGACGATCTTTCCTTTCTAGTTTGCAGAAGTAATACGCTATCCACGAGCCGTACTTCTCTGGTCGACAGAACAATTCATCTTCTTCTCGACTATTCGTTTCCTATTGATCCCCACTTACTTTCCTCCCTTGCCTGCCGTGCGTTCGATACACCCCGCACTTTGAACTGCCGACTGGACGCCAAATAACTGCATATTTTCACAATGGGCCCGTCCCCAGACCGGGAGGGATCGACAGCCCGGGATGAAGGAGTGTTAGGGGTCCGATCAAAGATGTCTATGCTATGTGCGTCCGTTCTGTTACTCGTGGCACCGGCCATCGGACAACAAGATCCCGTCAGCAATTTCTGTCGTCGATTCGGGCACCAGACAGCTGTTGTAGACAGCAAACTGTACATCGATGGGGGGCTCATTAACTGGAACATAAACGAGAATCCGAGTAACTACTCAAGTACGTCCACTTACCGTCGCTGATAGTTCAACCTAAAAAGATTGCATAGTTCAAGAAGTCTCGCTAACACCATTCAGATCCATGGCTCCTCTATCAAGACCTCTCCCAGTCAGCCCCCAATGTGGGTATGCCGCCATTATTTGCGAACCTCTCAAAGAACGGAACAATCCCCAACACCAATGGCGGTGGCCTATGGGCCGATGGTGTCAACAAGCGTCTCTATCTGTTTGGCGGCGAGCACAATGCCGAACCCCCATCCCCGTTCAATCTGTGGTCGTATGATATCATTAATAACTATTGGACATCGTATGGCACACCACGGTCCGGTATTCCCATTTCAAAAGTCAGCTACGGAGCTGGTGTGTCTGTCGACACGAGGGGTGAAGCGTACTACTATGGCGGCTGGCTTAGCAACGCCTCCGTCGCGGGATGGGGAACAGGTCCACCAGTTGCTACTAACGGGCTCGTCAAGTACACCATGGACACGAACAGCTGGTCGAACAATACTGGCCCAGACAATGTCCGCCGCGCTGAAGGAAGTCTGCATTACATACCTGCTGGAGGCGGCGGGATGCTGGTCTACTTTGGCGGCATTCAGGATTTCAATACGAACGGAACAGGGGAGGGTCAGCCGATGGACACGATCTTCATGTACGACATCCTGAGCAGCAGGTGGTACACGCAAAAGGCGACAGGCCAGATCCCCGAGATGAGACGGCGTTTCTGCGCAGGCGTCACATGGTCGGCGGACCAATCCTCCTACAACATGTGAGGCTCTTTTTTCCCTTCCTCCTCTAACGTCCATCACTAACATGTTCAAAGCTACATGTACGGCGGAGCAACGGTCCCAGGAGTCCTTGGCGCAGGCTACGACGACGTCTACGTTCTCTCCCTCCCAACATTCACATGGGTGAAGATGTTCCCTTCCACAAACGGCACAGGCTCGAACCCTCACCATTCTCTGTCCTGCAACATTGTTCCAGGCCGCGCGCAAATGATCATCATCGGCGGAACTTTCCCTTCATCCAACGACTGTGACTACCCCGTGCAGTGGGGAACTCACAACGTCGACCTTGGCAAACAGAACAAGAACAAGAGCATCTGGGAGCTCTACTCCCCGAACAAGACGACGTACTCGGTCCCAGATGAAGTCATTGCCGTGATAGGCGGCAACGGCAATGGCGGCGCAACAAAGACATCTCCCGCAGCAGGCTGGAATACCGCAGACCTGGGCCTCATGTTGGCCGACCAAGCCGAAATCACGCTCAGAACGCCCACCCGCATGGTCTCTGCTACATCAGCTCCATCCAGTGGCTCGTCCCTCTCCACCGGTGCCATCGTCGGCATCGCAGTCGGAGCTGCCGCCCTCATCATCTTGCTCGGTCTGGCTTGCTTCTGCCTCATCCGTCGCCGCCGCAGCCAACAATATCACAACCCTCCCAACTCGAGCTCAGGCCAACCATTCCATACGCAGACCATGTCTGAAGCATGGTCCCCGCCTGCAACGCACGTCAGCCCAGCGGCATCGCCATACTCGCCTCCTTACCACCCCTCCCCCTTCACACCACCGCCGCACTCCCCTCCGCCGCCGCAATCCGCACAAACGGTCCCGCCTTACATGGGACCACCCGTCGAACTCCCGTCCGAGTCTCCAGCACTCACAACAGCTCTTTCTCCCCCGCCGCCGCCCTCAGGGGGACACCATTCCGGTGCGACGACGGCAGCAGGCTCCTCGATGACGCGCTCGTCCTCGGTAACCTACCCTCCGCAACAAGCCTACTTTCCAGACCCGGTAACCTTGTCGAACCAAGTACAAATCGACGCCAATGGGAACATGTGGGTGCCGCAGGTGAGCATGGTCCAAGTTTCGTCCGGCAGCCATCCGGGTAGCCAGCACGGGACCCCTCCGGTGTATACGCCGCAGATGGGAGACCGAAAATCACCAGCGGCGCAACCCACGCCTCCGGTGGAGGTTCAGCCGACGCCACCAACGGAGTTGCCCGGGTCGCCGCAGGAGCTGAGCGCGGACCGGGATGATGATCGGGTGGGTGGTGGGAATTCGAGGCACCAAACATTTTACAACAGGTGAAAAGGGCCTTTGACGATGTATATTCGGGCACATTAGCGAGAGCATGCGTGACTTGGGTCAAATGTGTTTATTGTCACGAAGTCAGCCTTACAAAGTACTTGAGCCTGCCGCTGTTTCTGTTTCCTTTGTTTGGACGAAAAGATTCCACTCGGAGTTTGGATGAGGCGACTGGGATTGGGGGCGTCAAGAGCGCAGTGTGATAACTGATGGGGAGGTAATGCGAGGTTTCAATACATACTTTCCGCCACTCCTGTTCCTTGGAGAGGATGGTGAACTCTTTCCCGAAGCTTTGAAGCTCATATCCAGCGATCTCTCACAATACTACGAGACTCGGTTACACTTCAGGAGTCGGATGTCATCATTTGAACAATACTATCAGGGACAAGAATGGCATCCCAATCCTGTATCTAGCACCGTGTTCCGTGATCTCTTGCGGATCGAGGCAGCTTTGACAACAGCTCTACTGCTTCATCATATAAGTGTACGCGCTGGTACTGTCTCGAGGAAGTAGGATAGGCGGTGCATTCCCCTATACTGTATATGCCATAGACCAAGTGTTGGCTTCAGAGATCCAGATTGGCAGACCCTTAAACGAGATCCCGGAGAAGAGCATATCGCTTGGGCTGAGAAGGAATATTCGTGGAAGTTAGAGGCCCTTATCGATGCACGTTTCAGCAAGCTATTCCGGACCTAAGGTCCCGGTTGCTTCATCAATGAGTCAACATGGGAAGATGGTTCAACAGTAGGGTCATTCTCTCCCGGCACACTAGTTACCATGGACCAAGTAGGGATCATCTGCAGCAATACTGAACGTACCCTCTGACACCAAGACCAAGACGCAAGAGTTGCCTGCGTAGTCACACCATCCGGGTCTCTCTCTGAGGTCATCAGGGTCCAGGATGACGACGACGCGACGACCCAGGGTCCGAGGAAGCCAAGCCTTTCTTGCGTCCGATGGGGCTACGTCCCCTCCCACCGACTCCGTGACGTTGTCTCACAAAGGACGTCTTCTTCTGCCCAAATGTCACGATGATCGGTGATGGTGTCTGTGTCACAAGAGCGCAGTGTAACACAATGCACCGTTCATTAGCGAGGTAACTAGCGAGGTAACCAGCGAAGCGCGCGATTGCGATTGCGATGCCGTTGGCGCTTTTTACGTCATGGGAGTGCCAATGCACAATGTCTTGGTTGCGATTTGTCTTTGGGACACGAGAAGAAATCGCATCATATGGAGGTCGCGTGACGAGACGGACACCGCGATGCCGTTTCTCTCGCTTTTACGGATCGCCGGGGGAAAAGCCACAAAACCGATTGACAGCGACTCCCCTGCTTGTAAAGTTTTTAGATTAAAGAAAGAAGAAAGGATGGGCTAGATCATGATGTGGATGTCGTGCTCGGAATTGAGGTGTGGGGGGCGGCGCCAAATGCAGTGATGCGAACACGGCGGCGCGTTGCGTCTTGGACGCTTGGGTGTTCTTTCTTGTCCGCTCTACCTAATATTTTTCCTTTCTTGCCCAGTCCCTGCCTCGACCCCACGATTCGTCATTGCAGGGGCTGCGTAGAGTGATCGCCGCGGGTTGTGAGTCAAAACTCGACGACATTTTGGCAAGATCACAGACACGCGGGCGGGTACATCGAAAAAACTTACGGTGAAAAATATAGGCGATAATACCGCCGTACGACCCGAGGTTCTGATTCAAACCCTCGGCGCCGAGGATCTCCGTTACACAATGCGTGTCTTTCTCTCGTGGAAATGAACCTGAGAGAAGCCAGCCCGATATCGCTCGCCGGTCTTCGCAGAGCGAGACCGGAAGGGAAGTGTGCTCGGGACCATTGCTGGGGATCTAGGACTGGAGTTCACCTTACCTCAAGGGGACCAACCGCACCGCACCCGCTGCGTGGTCCAGGCCCGCAGGCGTTTGCGGTATGCCACATGGGAAAGGCGCCGAGCGGACGTGGCCCAACGGCGACGACGACGACGTCGTCGTCTTTGTGGTTCCCGGGGAGCAGGCAAGAGGGTCGCCGTACGCAGACTGCAGGCCGCAGTCAACGACGTGGGCGGGGAGGGTTGCGGGATAACGAAGGCCGAGGGATGTTTGTTGGCGGCTGACGCCAACATGCAGCATCACTGGGGATACTTTCAAAAATCGGCGAAAAGAGCCATCACACCGAGCATGGGCTTTCTGCTCTGGCTCTTTGCCAAAAGTCGTTGTCAAACAAAGACCTTTGGGCAATCAGGGTCCCCACGATCCCACGATATGGATGGACCCCGGACGGGTTGAAAGAGGCATAGCGGCTTGAGGATCGTCTGCTTGCTGCTGCTGGTGGTGGTGGTTGCCCACTCCCACTTCGCAACCACCCATGCTCTCGACAGGGGGGCAAGACGCGGACGACTTTGCAGTTGCGGTTCGTCCGCGTTCCCGTGTCTGACTCCATAGATAAGAAGAACAGGCAGGAGAGGCCGATGGGCGTACTTCTCGTGCGCGAACCAGAGATCGTGGCCGTCCCGCATTCATGCCGAGGCCATCCCGAGCCCTTCTTGGGCCCTAGTACCTGCAGACGGTTAAGAAGGGCGCAGGCCGTGATTTGAAGCTTCTTCAAAGACGGGATAGGCTGGTTGGGCCGGGGGCCAGGGAGAGAGGCAGTTTCCGGGTCGCCCATTTTGTCTCGTTGCATCGCAGGTGGGATATCCGACTTCCTTGAGGTGTGGCGCCGTTGGTTGGTGGTCGTCTCTTCACCTCCGCCTCGAGCGGACTCCTGCTGCTGCATATCCGCACACTTCTTCGCCGGTCCTAATTTACGTTAGGGACGATTTGGCTTTCAGGGGACGGCAGCAGAGAAAACTGGTTGTGAAACAAGTAGACGCAGTTTAGAAGCTCTCAGAGGTCCCGGATGTCGTTATCTTGCATGAGAAGTTCACGATCCAAGACGACGTTCAAAGGGCCTGCATGTTCGTCGAGAGGTAACCACACCACAACCGCATGGGCTGGTCCCGAAAGTATCCGACCCAGCTGTCCATCTCTTGGGTCGCTTCCAAAGAAGAGGCGTGGGATGACAGTCGAAGGCAATTGGGTCGCCAGCGGGAGATTGAGATCCAGCACGTTGGTGAGCCAGAGGCTGTATTGCGCTTGTTGTGTCTTGTTGGTGAAAATTTTCATTGCTCTGGGGCTGTAAGCGAGTAGGCAAACATGTCGTCAGTTGCTGGCCCGTACAACAACCAATGGCGAGCCTTCTGCCATGGTCCGTGAGCTGAACCAAGACCAGAATGGTCTACTGTCTTGACCGAGGCGCTCGGCCGACTTCGTGCGTGGTGAGCTCTCAAGGTGACGCGCGAGGTGAATGAGGCTCGTGGAGTTGTGACCTCCTCGGCTCACCTTGATGGCGGCGCTTGCAAACCCGCCTCGCATGGATTGGGGCACTATCGGGACCGAGACACGGGATGGCCTTTCTTTTGCGAGGGGCACGGGTGTGCTGAAGACGTGGGATGCCAGCTGGGAGAGGGAGAATGGCGCGCATATCGCAAAGGCTGCCGCCGTGAGCCAAAATGGCATACCGGGACGGCAAGTCGATTGCGAGCGTGGTGTGCAGTTGTCAATCTCGCTGCCTCGGACGGCAAAATGTGGATTTTACCGCGTCCAGATTCCCTCTCGAGACTCGGATGCATCGACGTAACCCTCCCTTGCCAGGCTGGCGGGAGACGGAGGCTCAGACGGCATCCTCTCTCTTGATTGCGTCGTCAATCAACTCTGATAACTCTGATAACATAGAGTGCAGGCCGAGAAGGGATGGACCCCCACGCGGAGTTGCAGGTTGTGGTTTAATTGAGCGCATATGGATGCCCGGTCTTGCGTGGTGTAGAGACGGCAGACCGGGTGGGTTGAGTTCCTATCCATGCGACTTGTCAACCGCCGACTCGTCTGGCCCAGCGCGCGCCTACGCGGGGTTGCGAGCGTCAGGCAGAGACAAGACGACACGCAACCGTCCCTCGACTAAATTGCAACCCCCTCTGGCCCACGAGCAGGAGCTGCCCGTATCGAGCCAGTCGCGGGAATGCGAGAGTCTCAGTGGTGGTTTGTCGACGCAGTTGGCTTGAATCGCATGTCGCGAGATATGCGGTCATGTCTAGGAGGGGAAAGTGGCAGCGGAAGGGACCTCTCGTTGATTGCACGACAGCAGCCGGTTGCATAGAGCTTGCCAACTCAGTTGGGTAGTTGATCACGTCGATAGCAGATAGCGATATGGCGACATCCAGTTGCCAGCTTGTTTATGGTAGAGAAGAAGGACCCCGGGCGGTTGAAAGACGCGGCGCCAGACGACATGTCTTTGCTGGATTCGGCCGAGCCCAAGCACCGTCCACGTTGCGCCGGTGAAGCCATCAGCGCAGCCCAGCGGCCCAGACTTGCGGTTGTGAGTCGTGTAGCGTCGTATCTGGCCGTCGTCTTTGGTTGAGAGGGAGAGGGGGAGATGATAGATGGTGGTCGAGAAGGATGTGAGGGGACACTCAGATGCCATTGGGTACCCTGGGGAACATGGATAAAACGGCAGTTGCGATCGCGAAGACGACCCCGCATCGAAAGGGGGTGAGACAGCGATGAGCACCACCAGCTGGAGAGAGCAATTGATCAACGCAACACAATGATCCCCCCGTCCGTTACGATGGCTTCGCATCTGACGGTGTGAATAATTGAACGGTCTACTGGTGTGACGACCGACACGGTACAATGGGGTGCGGCCTTCCAATGGGTAGGGTCTTGGCCTGGGTCCGGCGGTGCGTCGGGTCTGGGCCGGGGGATCGCCATCTAGCGGATTGGCCGGGTGGGAAGCGGTGCTGCTTAGTCAACTGTGCTTTCGCTGTGCATGAGCACGTTTCTTGTTGTTGCCCGTCGTCACGAGGCCATGTACGTGATGTTGCCATGTACTCTCACGACAAACAATGTACCGGCATAGGCCGTTACAACTAATGTGGGCTGGTGGTAACCTGTACTGTTGCAGAGCCATATTCAAGACATATTAGACGGCGGATTCGACATTCTCATCAGCCAATGTAGTCTCGACGTCTCCAACCTCGATGGACACGTCCCAAACATGTTGAATAATCGGATCTCCATCTGCTAGGTAGGGATTTTCTTCTTCACACGGGCAGACGGGAGTAGGGAAAGGCAATGGGATGAGAAAACCAAAAACTTACGACGATCAGAACAGCAGCTCAACCCCCCAAGGCGAGCACTACCCCATGCCCATGTGCTGGTTCCCGTGGTTCCTAGCCAAAGATTTTCTGGACCTTGGAGCTTCTTGCAATACAACTTGCAGCGTGCAGCTCCGGGTTACAGCAGAGAGAAAGAAAAATTTCCGTCGGCTCCCTCGCCGGACGAGCCTGCGCCTGGGATCGCCCCGCTGCACGAACCACAGGAAGGGAACAAAGGGAAACGAAACGCGCATCAATGCTGTGGGTGTCACTGTAACTGCCCGAGAAGAAGAAGAAAAAATTGAATTGGGTAATGGGGCGTACTCAGTTGCCTCTGGCCATACACGATGCAAACACGTGTGTTGCGACGGAAGGCATCGTCCATGTCGTTACGTCTCAACGTGGATGAAGCGGCGGTTGTGGTAGGTGGTTTGGCTGTACCAAAGCAGAGGTACCTTCCCACCAGCCCAAGGTACCAGAGGTACCTGTGGCGCCTACTGGAGGTGTCCGTACTGCGTAGACGAAGTCCAGACAAGGTCCGTCTTGAAGCCCTGGCAGAAACGGAACCGGGAGGGAAGGAAACAGGCGGGGCGCATTTTGGGGCTCTGGACTGCGGTGCCGTGTCATTGAGTTCCCTTCCAGACTTCTCCTTGCCTTCTTCTCATTCGTCTATTGCTCAGTCCTGCTGCCCTTTTCCACAATTCATCTGTTTTTCTGCCCGTGCCCTGTTTGGTTGTGGCATGCAGTGGATTCCATTGTTTGGCGGAGCGTTGCAGTCTTTGTGCGTTATTCCTGGGAAAAACGGAGTCTCGTCCTGGTTGTGTCGCGGGCGACGGAGTGAGGGCCGAAGAGGTCCACGGGCAGTGAGAAAAGGGGTGTGAGGGACGACGACCAGACCAGACAAATGGGGATCTTCCACGGGACCCCAGGTCGGTGTCGCCAAAAAAACTCAAAGAGGCCTGGACGATGAGCGCCGGACCGCCCAAGCTTGCAGCGCCGTTCGGGAAGCATGACGCCTCCAGGGGACTCAGGGCCTCTGTTGGGTACATCCATTCCCGCTGTGGGGACGATCCTCCATGTGAATGGAGGCAAGCCTTGGACGACCGGGCTTCCGGTGGCTCTCTCTCCTAAAGGTCCTCCTGAGAGTCCTGACTCCTGAGAAAAGATGGCCCCCAACCAAGGCCTGAGACTTGCTTGTGGGAAGCTGTCGGTCAGAGGTCTAGTTCCCTCCAGTTGACCGTCTTTTGTGGAGCTGTTTTGAACTCTGTGCGTTTGTCTAACCCAAGCCGCAGCAGCTCTTTCGGGGGCCCCTTCGTGGGGAAACGTGCTCAAGAGAGTGGATGGGGTGATGTGAGTGTGAGAAAAGCACTATGAAGTGGAGTGGTGAACGAACAACCAAATAATATGGGGTCCTTCTGCGTTTGCGACTGACTTTTGCAACAGACACCGCGGCAGCAGCCAAACACGGCTGGGTTCGGGGAACACGGCGCTGTAGCATAGCAGCGGGATCCTCTCCAGCCCGGGCTTGTGGGAGTTGAGTCTCCAGAGTCTCCAGAAATTCTCTTTCTTTGCCGGGTCACACAAGCTGCAGTGTCGTTGTCTCTGGGTCCTCGTTTGTACCTGCCCATTCCCACACCCAACTTACTAAGGCAAGGAGTCAGAGGACCCGCGATGGGCTGACAATAGAGTGACGGGGACTGTTTGGTGTCCCGTCTGTTGTTGCCCTTTGACGAGAACTGCAACATCCAGGGACGTGCCTAAACTGAAAAAATTGGAACTGCGTCACGGCGGATTTTTTTCCCTTTCGCAATTGCATCATCCCTCTGAGTCTTTTTGAGGGCTATTATCGCAACCTGCCTCGGGCCGGCTGATGTTACATAACGCGCTACTCTTGTAAGTGCCGCCCAGTACCCGTTGTTTGCGGGCGTTCAATTTGCACTCCTGAGTCATCTGGAAGGGAAAAAAAAATCAAAAACCTCGGATAGAGTCAAGGCATTTAAGAAACATGCGGGCTGTGCAAAAAAATGCCAGTTTAGCGGTTGAAAAAAATGCAAAAAATGCAACCAAAAAAAAAAAAAAAAAAAAAAGGGCTCAAATGCCTCATGGAACGACGCGGTGGCGGCCAGTCCCAATGAAGCAGCTGGCAAGATGCTGTACCGTCTCTGCCTTGGCTTTTTGAGTTGAGACACTACGTACGTATGTACCATACCATGCCATATGCTATGCCATGCCGCTCAAGCGATGGAAAGTTGGAGAAGATTTGACGGTACCGATGCAAGGTACCTCTCACGTTCATGTGCGTGTGTGTTGTTAAATTTTTTTCCCTGGTTCCTTATGCACACGGGACGGCTTCCATCTCTCCATAATACGGGGTACGCAGCAAGGCACCTTGCATCCAGCTGCGCGAAGCCGACTGGCCGTCGCCAGGGACTGAAAAGTCGCAGTGTTCATGCGGATGGAGTCCCCAACATATGATCACGATCGATGATGGGCGCGCGGCGCGGGCATGGTCACAATGTCCCCTTCCGTTCCATCTCCACCGCATCAAGTGCTTGTTCTCTGCTGCCCACTCGTCATCTGTCGGGTGTTTTTCATCCAAGGACTTTGGACGGAAGCCGTGTCTTCAATGTTTGATGTACCGCTTGGCTCGTCGTCAGCCGGGCCGGTACATGTAGTGTCTGAGGGAGCCGACAGCGAGGCCGTAGAGGTTTCGACTTACATAAGGCGCTTGGAGTGCAATGGCCGGGATGCAGGACGGGGGATGGGGGGGATGGGACGGCTTCCACCAGCTCAGAGCTCCAGCAAGGAAACGACCCAAACTTCTAGGTTGTCGCTACTTGCACATCTTAGCTAATAAGGTGCCTTCTGTGATGCAACAAGTCAGTCGTCCATGCAGCCAAAGCTACCTACCTTACCTATGCCCGTCGGCGTGCACTCCGGCCGCTACCCACCTACCACATTGCAGCACGGGGAGCCGTGGCCGTGGGTGAGGAGAGAGTTAGCGAGTGATGGAGTGAGCTGATGACAGAATTGCGAAAATGATGCATCGCAATGGCAACTGAGCCCCCCTCGGCTCGCGTCAGGCCTGGGGGAGACTGGTTACCTTACTGCGTACCTTAGGTACCTTAGCTTGCTTCCCACACAGTCTAGTCCTTCGCAAGGCCAGTCACCTGGCCACACCTTACCTCACACCTTGGCTTATTGTCTGCGCTCTGCTGTCCAACAGATGCCCTCAAGGCCTCCCACACCCTCGGTGACCTTGATCTCAGGGCCTTTTCGCCATTGTCCTGTCAGACTGGAGGGACCAGAGTGAGCAAGCAAGGTACTGCACCCCGTTCTGCTTGCCGCTGCATTCTGTGTCCGTACCTGACATTCTAGTTTCGATCATGTAATGATGGAGGGGTCGTGGGTAGATTCGTAATCGCAGGCTTGAATTCACCATTCACCGTTGACCGCCAGAGGACTCTGCTCCGGCCCTGACCCTGAGTACGTACCCTACAGCCTGAGGTGGGAATGGAAGATACAGAGGTACTCTGGGTCGTCGTAGGTAGTCGCTGGAAGTACTCTTCTGATGCTACCCGTCCCCAGACTCGTTCGGCAGCATCGTGCATCACCTCTGATTTCCCTCTCGCTTCCCCATATTTTGGCACTATTAAAAGCCCTGCTCGGCCATTCTGCCCTAGCCCGAAAGCGCCTAGCAGCCCTTGGACGTGGTCCCCGCCAGTCCACTCTGCGTCTCCGCCGCAAGAGAAACCAGACCACTTCTCTCTTTCTCTCTCCAGTGAAGCAAGCTCACCCACCTCGCCGACAGGGGGTCCGGATTACCCAACAGAGCCTTTCGAAAGACAGGCTTCCCCCGTCCACGCGCAACCTCGCAACTGCGCCAGAGGGATCGAGAGCAGAGAGGTACCTACCTGACCTGACCTGACCTGCCTGCCTCGCATCCTGCCCACTGCAGAGAGAACAAACACAATTCCCGTGATGACCTGAGCTCTGGGGGCGAATTGCGATATAAGCCTCGGACCCCGATCTTGAAATCTCGATCTGAGAGGAGACAGGAGGGAAGGGGAAGAAAAAAAAAAGGTTAGAGATTTCTCGCTAGTGAGCCGCATTCCTCGACACGTCAATAAGTCGGTGAAGGAAGGAGAGGAAGGAGAGAGAAAAAAAAGAAAAAAAAAAAAAAAAAACCTTTCAAAGACCAAAAGAGGATCAAAGAATTCCCAACCAAATTAGTCTGCATACGAAAAAAGACACTCGCACATCGCGTCTAACCACACAGACGTCAAAGAAGAATACATTTGGGCTAGACATTATTCTCCGGTCTCACGTATGCGAGAGACAAACCCGCCGCCATTCATTCCTCTCGGGGGCCCTTGCTTTTCTCCAATTCGTCCACCGCCGCTTGGGAGCAGGAACTTTTCTGCTTGGCGACGAACTGGACGATGAAGACATTGGAGAGACAGGGCCACAGCCTACCTACCCAACGCACACGCGCGCTTTCTGAACAACTGGAACAACAGGTCAAAGGATAATTTGAAATGGAAAGAGGGAAGGTCATCAGGGTATCTGCAGTGTGCCCTGTTGTCTCTGGCAGCATGCTACCTTTGCGGCGGCGACTAAAATTGCGCGTTTCTGCACTTGTGACTTTGCCTCTGGCAGCACAGTGCTCTCTCTCTCTCTCTGCGCAGAGCAAAAAAAATAAAAAAAAATAAAAATAAAAATTGGCCGTCTGTCATGGGCAAAGTTGAGACGACGGACGAATCGGCGGCGCTGTGCAGAGTCGATTGGCTGAAGGCCCGTCCGCACCCCGACATCTCCGCTTTCGGCGAACCCACGGCCCTGCTCGTCCTTGCGTCAATCCGAGGTACTCTTTTTGCGGGCAATGTACCTTTCTCTCAACCGGGCTCTTGCCTGGGTCCAAGGTCCAGGGAACAGACAGCGAGAAAGGGAAAGGGAAAAAAAATACCCATCTCCAAGGGAGTGAGCAGAGTACCTCCATAGTATCCGTAGCAGTAGCAGCACTCTAGTAGCACGACAACGGAAAGAGTCACACTCGTCAAGCGGCCCCATCCATCCCCAGAGACCCCGAGAGAAAGCAGCAACAGCTTTGATACAAAAGCAGATCGTCCTGCAGCACTACAAATAATTCCCGAGCCCTCCCGTCCGTTTCCAGAGCCTCTCTTTCGCGTTTTCCCGTATCAGTTCGGACTACGAGGTATCTCGGTCATCAGTCACCATTCTCATTCTCATTCTTCTCTCTCTCACCACCCCACTCTCTTCCTTTCCTCTCTCTGTCTTAATCGTCTCACTCGAGGCACACATACCTGACCAAATCGTGCTCTGCTCCAACAAACTCCGACTACGCCCTCCGCTTCTCACTCCGACCCTTGGCTTAAACCCACCGCCGAACATCAACGACGACGGGACCAGACCGACATCCCAATCCACATCGACATCCGCAAAGTAAACCGCAAACCACTTCGCCTTACCTCAACTTCCCTAGCTTCCTTTTTCTCTCTCGCTGCTAGCTAGCCCTGGTCCCCGCATCCGCACTCCTCTCGCTCTCGTGTGTCGTCATCGTGCTTCCAGCCAGCGCATGTTCGTTGCTGCACCCGCTGTTTAATTAAATCTCGAAAAAAGCACCCGGCCACGGCCCATCCCTGGATCGAGAAACCACTACCACGGTGCAACTTGGCGCTACAGACGCCCGCCTTGCCCCCGGCTTGTTTACGACTTACACCAAGCTTGCAACCTCTCACCATCTTACCCTTACCTAGCACGGCAACATCAACCACCGTCAGCTACAAGCCTCTCAGCCGAGTTAGCCCTCGCAAAAATAGAGCGCTCATCCGGCCATCCTTCCTGCGGGCTAGCTAGCACCACCACGGCCGCCCAGCACCTCATCCGCCTGGGCTTGAACACCGTCTGTGTCAGCGGCATCTCGCCGAATTGATAATTAGATAGGAACCTGTTCCTTGGGTACGGGTATTCATAAAGGCGTATCAGCCGCCCGCACACACGCTGCAGCACCCACTACCGCTCTCGCATCCTCACACACGCTCTCACACTACTCACCCACTCACTCACACTCACACACACATACAAACAACACACACCCATCACTTATCAGCTCGGTCAAATACCTACCAGGCCATATCCACACCCCCAGGCAAACCCGCCGCTATCTATCAGTTCCCATCACCAAGGCGCCTTAGCTATTGGAAATAAGGCACACCACATCAGGCGTCCCTTGCACTTGCGGCTGCTCTCGACCCTTCTTAATCCTCCCAGCACCCGCTCCGACCTGACTTGTCTGCGGGGGGGGGAACTTGACTCTCCAACGAACGGGCAAACACAAAAAATCTCTTCAGCGGCATCGCGCAACGGTCCAGACCTTTTTTTGCCACTGGGAACGCGTGAGAAAGCAAGGACCAATTTCCTGCATTCCCATGGCCAAGGCCACCAACAGGACGGCAACCCGTATCACACAATCCCCGTTTACGAAAATTTTTCACGAGAGTCACCAACTCGATTCCTTCACCTCCACGGGGTTTTAAACTGGGTCTTTCTGTCTCTGCTCGTTGCCAAACCCGACGGCCGAGACAGCACGGGCAACCACCTTACAGTTGTGTTGGTGTCAATCATCGCTCGTTAGGGGAATTGCACAGCGCCTACCCCTCCACCAAAACACCACCATCCCCGCTTATCTTCCTCCGCCTGCCACCACCGACACAGGCTCCCGCTGCATCACAGGCACCAGTGACTGTGTGGGAGACGACACACAGTGAGGACTGTCGACTACAAGAAAGACCCCTGCCAGCATACCATTGGCTTTCTGACCTCACCTCCCGATCTATCTCTCTCTCCCATATACTCACACACACACACACACACACACACACACACACACACACAACAATACACAATGCATCACAGTCGCAGAAAGTCAGGCAACACCTCCATGACGGAGAAGACCGTTACCGCCACTGATCCCTCCCGCTATGGCAAGCGCCCAACAACACTCTCCCGACGCCAAACACCCGTCACCGCGCAAAAGCCGGGCAAGAGCCACAGGGACCGCGAACGCGAATGGCAGGACTCGTGGGACGATGACCGTGAAAGCTTCCCTCAGTTTTGGTATGTAAACATGATCTGTCTTTCTCTCTCCGCTTCACCCCGGACCTTCCTTTCTTTCTCTTCAGCCTGGCGCAAGTGGCTGCTCGCGCCATGTTCTAGACTGGCAATCCCCGCAACAGCTCCGTCCTGTTCTACGCAATGATCTTCTATGGCTCGCTGCAGACGGTTTCCCTTTGGGAGTGCTGCAGTGTCACGAAGGACGCGCAGCTCGGGGCGTCACCCATTACCCCGTCTTCCGAGAAGCCTCTCAAGCCCATATTGTCTTTCATGACTACCACAAACACACCCACTGACTGGTTGTGTTCTAGCATGACGTGCGAAAAGCAATTCGTGCCCCAAGACGTCAAGACGCTGTACTGCTCAGAAGCGTGCCGCCTCCACGATCAGCAGAGCGCATCAATCGGCAGGAGTCACAGCCAGGTGCACCAGAGTCACTACCCTTTCTACGCTGCAGGCAACCCCGAACCGAGAGACATCGTCCCCCGCGCCTCGCCATCGAGGCCCAACTCGATGCACTTCTCCCCGCCCACGACACCAGGTGCCACCAGCGGTGCTCAGTACTCGTCTGCCATCTCCGCCCTGAGGTCTCTCAGCATCCGCCCTCCCAGCCCGCCATCCCCCACATCCTCGCACCCTAGCAGCTTGTGGCCCTTCACCAAGAGCAGCACCGCCAGCCCCAGCTCCTCCTACAACCGCAGCGGCAACGGATTCTTCCCCGCGACCTACGACGGTGGTTACGCTTCCACCGGTTACGCCTACAACTACAGCTCCAGCGGCATGGATCGGCCGCTGCCGACGCGGAGACCCACTGGCCCGGGCTACTCGAGGCCGAAAAGTATCGAATTGGTGACACCCATGGTCGGTCGCTAACGCCCACCAAAAGGGCTTGGGGAGGGCTGGCGCCACCAGACACACATGGTTGTGGACTACCATCCCATTGGCAACGCACGACGACATCGGGGGCGGAACTGGCGTATTGTTCGGCGACCTCCCTTCGCACCCGAACAGGTGTACAGCGGGGGGCCGACGGGGGCGCCCTCAAGGGCTTTCTCCTCTCGTACTCGCCTGTCCACCCCAGCCCCCAACGCGGGGTTAGCGTCGATTTCGAGCGCCGGAAAACGCGGGGGTTTAATTTACGGGATGGACGACGGGCGATAAGGGGGAGATTCGATGCCAAACTTCAGTTTCTGTCTTGTTTGCTGCTCCTCCTGCTTCGGGTCGCCACATTTCCGAATCATCCGGCACTCACTTTTCTCCAGCCGATCTCATTCCAACACCACCCTCGTCCCTTTACCCCACGAAAATGACGCTTTGACGCGCGCGGAGAAACCAGCATGGTGGAAGTCACTAGTGTGGGGATTTGCCAATTTGCGCATCTGCGGCGTGTTCTCATCGGTCATGTGAGCGGGGGAGGAGCAAGGGAAGGGGGGGATCACACACTCAAAACACACAAAATCGGGGTTGCATTGGCATAGGCATTGATTGGCATTGACACAGCGAGTTATTGGGGATATTGCCTGTCTGGATTTCGAACCGGCTGTTTGGTACGCCATACCCAAGTCATCACGGAGGATCTCAACGACATCTCCGTGCCGGGGTGGGCTGTGGCCGGGAACGATTCATGACGGGGGAGTTTTCTTATTTTTTATCATCTTCTCTGAGCGTTGCGCACGTATCGTGTGTCGTTCACGCCATCTTGAAAGCATATTAGAAAGGCGGGCATTTACGGGTCTCCAGCTTTCGCATGAAAGGACAACGGGTTCTTCAGGTTGTTACTCGGGCGCATTTTTGTCATCATCATCATCATGACCTTGGGATAGGAGGCACATGGCGGATACAGTACTCCCCCTCCTCTCAAAACGACCATAGTCTGGCTTTTTATTGTATGTATCTCATTCCGCGATCTGGGTGTATGTCTCTAGAGCAGGCACGACCTGATTTCGCAAGGAACAAAATATGAATCACATCATCATGTTGTTTGTTTGTGTATAACCGGAATGTCTGGTGTCTGTCTCACTCGTACAGCGCGCGTTGAGAGTGTATGATTGGTGAATAGTGGATGCAGACACACACACGCCTAGCTACCTAGCATTAAGCAACTAACTCGTGCATCCGGGGGTGTGAGGGAAGGAAGATACCTGCTCTACCGGTCATGGTATCAGTTCCACACTTATCTGAACCTGCCCACCTCCGCAAGACCCATTGTCGATCTATCTCTGTTTTTTTGTTCTTTCTTTTTACCCGGACGAGACATGTATGGAGTGAGTGGCCCCGCGAGAGATGTGCGCAACTGACTCGGCGGTGGGTTCTTGCGGGAGATGGACAGGAGTAACCTACCGTTGAGACGGCAGCGCAGAGGACGGTTGATGGACAATTGGGGGTGGCCCAGGGGTGGTGGGAAAAGGTGTTGCGCGCACCGTAGGATTTTGATATTAATTGGACACCCGTTTTTGGGAGGAGGGAATCCTTGGTTTTGCTTGGGTGTTTGCTGTGCCGCTCAGGAATACTATAGAGAGAGGTCTGGACCGCTTTCTTCTAGGGCCCGAGGTTCTGCTGAGGTCGTACAACGTGCTTACGGATGGGGGATGATGTATGTGTGTGGTCTGGTTGGTTGGATGGCAGGTGGTGAAGGATTATTGTGCCTGTGTGGGGGGAGGTAGTGTTGGCGCCGGGCGGTTTCCGATATCAGAGACTACACTACGTGTGATTGTGCCATGTTTTCGGAGAGCTCCTCCTGGATTGGGGGTGTGAGGTCGGGATTTTCCCATCACGACGACCTTGGGACGCGTCGAGGCTTGCGGGCGCGGGAGAACTACGGAATGGGGTTTGGGGGGGAGAATAGGTGTCCCGGGCTGTTTGGCAATTTGGGAGGTCACTTTTCTTGCGTGGGGCTTGGCTTTTCGGTTTGGACGATCGTGAGGAGCAAGATCTGGGGGTGGGCTCTTTTCTCGTCACGTTTGGGGTGGGCGGTGGAGACAGTCACGATTCGGGAGCATGGGGGGCGTCGAAAGAATATGGGATTATACTGTGTGGGATGGTTTCCGAGGTTTAGCAGACCGAGTCAGGTGGGTTTGCTACATTTGCTCGCGGGATGGTGATTATGTGTGCGGGTAAAGTCAGATGAGTTGGTTGATTGAGGTTGAGGCGAAGTCGGCCAAGGGTTAGGTGTCCTATGACGAAGCGGTTTACGAAGGTCTCGTGCGTGTGTGTTGACGATCGTGGTGATGACTTTGGCTGACGCACGGGGGTTGGGTGTTGTTTGGGGGCGGTGTAGGTCCGGTGAGCGGGTTGAGGATCCAGGTGAGCGGAGAGGACGCCGCGAGCCGCGAGCCGTGAGCCGTCGCCCCCTATCCCGTTTTTGGAGCCGTTTCGATAAGAGATTCTTGGTGGCGGCGCGGCGGGCGGCTGAGGCGCCTGCTGTGCAATAAGGGACGGCGTGTGACGGTGTCCCAGGGAGGACCGGTTTAGTGATTCTGGTTGTGTGTGGTGGGCTGGATGGGTGGGATGATGACGTGAGAAGGGGTCGTGTGGTTTTTGCCTACTTGGGATACCCGGGGGGAATCGCATAGTCGGGAGAACTGGAATCATGATCTGCTTTGGGCAGGGTGGTTGGCTGCGTAGCGCCGATGTTGGATTTTGGGTCGATCAGATTGGGGGAGGAAGGTGAGAGCAGCGCCATGCGAGATAGGCTAGTCTCGGTTGTCGGTGGCATTTGCCAGATCTAATCTTTGCTCGGGGATGAGATATCCGAGATTTTGGATTAACCCTCTGGCAACAGCGGCCCAGCGGTTCGCAAATATGTCAGGTTTTTTTTTTTTTTTTTTGAGACATGGTAAACAGGTTTTGTCCCCCGCCTCTGTGTGTGATGGGATGTGATTGATGCACGCAGTTACCGGTCGCGTCTCCAAATGATTTGTGTTTTCCCGTGTTTGTACAATGTGCGACATTCCTCGCGCGTTTGCTCGGGGCTGATTGCCGTGGGAGGGAGAGACGGCCGGCGCCGTGTCGGCGAGGCCGGTGTTGTTCGGGGTGGAGCATCGGGGGTGCCCGAGTTTTGCGGCGTGCACGGTGTTTGGGCCGCGGCCCGGTGAGGAGGAAGAGGAGATTGCGACGCTGTGTGTGTGTGTGTGTGGAGGAATGACTCTCCCCCCTGCTTTCTCTTAGGGATTGCATCGTATCGGGGCCCGGTCTTATTTCGGGAGGATACGGTGACAATATCGTGAGGGCATTATTTACTGAGCCGCTTTTGGCGGTTGTGGGAAACGGCAGTTTGTTTTGCCCCCGTTGTGGTTGATAGTCGCTTTCTCGACACTGGTCACTAGTCATTTACACAATAATCTCTCTCGCGTCTGTGTCAAGTACTTGCAGAGGCCTTGTAAGACCTGGGCCTTTCATCGCTTGCTGCTTCGAATGTATTTCAAAACCTAAAGTGTGACTGGGGGCTACGAAGACAACGACGGTTTGGGACACGATATGACCTGGGCGCCACGCTTGAGAACTCAGCCCCAAGACCCCATCCCAGCACTAGGCAGACAATCTTGTGGCCAAACAATTTGAACTTGACTTGACCATATCATAAAATCTGATTAAGCGGCCCCTGGAAGAAAGCCAGTATGCCTCCCGTTCACCATGGTCATCGAACTTTCGACGCATACTTTCGACGCATACTGTGGAGTACTTTGCGACTCTGGCTTCGTTCGTCGCCACTCGCCTTTCCGAATCACACGTTAAATGCAATTGTATATGCAAACGCCTACGGGTATATCGGACGATCTATGCATGTCCTCTCTAAGCCGCCGCTTCGCTAGATACCCAAATCCAATGCTCCAACTGATGCAGCCTCCCGACCCAATGCTCCTGTAACGAAACGATGTGCACCCAATATTCAAACACATTGCTCACCGCACCCTCTTCCTCGGAGACCTCTTGAGGTCTTCCACCTCTTCCCGAGATAGGATGATGCTCTCCTCTCTCTCCTCTGTATCTCCCGACAGCTGCTCTTCTCCTATCCACCCGGCCTCGACAGCAAACCTGACGACCTCCGCGGCACATCCAAAGGACGGGGTGCCGGCCTCGGCCTCGGGATCCAGGTACTTCCAGAGCTCCTTGGTGGCCTTCTTGAACTCTGCCGCATCCTTCTTCTCGCCCTTAAAGCCCTTGATCATGTACTGGTACAGATACGCCAACCATAGCACGTTCGTGTACGGCACGTAAACATCCCAGGACAGGGGCTGCCCGTCCGCTGCCTTGGGGTATGGCGAGTTGTGCGCTGTTGGCGGGAGACAGCCGCGCTCGCCCTTGATCAGGAAGGACCGCATCTGGCGGTAGACCTTGCACTGTGGTGCGTGGGTGCTGGTAAAGATGCCGAGTTCCTTCTCGAGGTCCAGCGCGATGGGCTCGTCGTCGATGTCCAGGTCCTCGGCCCGGGACAGACCGTAGTCGAGAATAGTGATATCGAGTCCCGAGTATCCAAAATGGGGCGCTGTCTTGCTGTTACCACGGGCTTGAGGCTCGTCTGTCCGCCGTATGCAGAGATTGCCCTCGTGAAGATCGCGATGCTGGTTCTGTCAGTCTACGAAGGAAAGGAAGAGTTGTGCGAGCGTACCTCAAAACAGTTGAATTCTTCTGCTCTCGCCAAGGCAATGGCAACGAGGAAGAAGATGTCCCACAGCTGACTTTGGTTCACGAGCTCAAAGTCCTCCAGCGCCGTGCCTGCATCGCCCAGCTCAACGACGAGGAACTTCGTGTCGGCAAGATACCGGCTCGGACTCGGGTAGAACTGCAGCCTGTCCGGGTCCTTCCGCTTCATCTTTCGATGAAAGGCCTGATGCGTCTCCAGCAGACACTTTGGCGCCTTGCCCTGCACGATGTAGCGCTCCTTGTACACGACGAAGCCCGGGATGTCGGCAAGCCACTCGGATATTTGTAGCTCGCCGCGCATGTCGTCCTCGGAATGCGGCTCCTCGTCGACAAGACCAGAGCGCTCCTGTGCCTTGGTCTGTGGCTTGATGGGCGACTCAAGACGGATGCACTTGATGATGCTGGTGCCGCGCTCATTTCTGACGCGGTAGACCTCGGCATAAGAGGCCTCGGCGATCTTCTCAATCGTGTCTCCCGGCGGGCAGACCTCGTCCCATGTGAGGATGCGGTAGCCGGGCTTAGGCTCTTCTTGGGGCTCTGGTGATGCCGGCTTTTCAGCTTTTGTAGCCTTGGAGGACTTGGACTTGGACTTTGGTGTTGTGGTCTTGACTGGTGCCGGTGATTCCTGGACTTGCTTCTTTGGGGATAGCACCTGTCTCCTCGGCGAGACGGGCTTCTTTGGCTTTGGCGGTGATTCCACCACGATGGAGCCAAAGTCTCTCGACAACTCATCTTCCGAAGAGTCATATCCAGCTCCAAGCGCGACTGCGTCAAACTTCTCGGAGATCCTGATGATCGAGTCATCGTCATCCGAGTCCACCGCCACTGCTACCGTCGTCTGCGGCTTTCGAACTGGACTCTGCGGCAGCTCGCCGAACAGGCGCCGCGCCTTTGACTTGGTCGACGTCTTGCCGTACGTGCGGCTCGCTATCGTGCGTGCCATTTTTGATGTTGCGTGTTGTTGAATCTGCGTCAACTTTGGAAATATTGCATCTCTCGTCGTACGACACCGCAATGGCCGTCGTTGGCATCTATTGACAATCCATGCGGTTGACCAGACAACGGAAGCTTCAACGGAAGGGACGTTACTCCGCGGCCGCTGAAGACCCACTATGACCCGCCAAGCTGGGCTCGACCGCATTCAGACGGGTGTGGAGCACAGTTCATCTGCCCCAGCTTCCAGAAGAAGCCACTTGACTGGCTGACGACTAGCTAATTTCGCCATCTCGTTGGCGACGTTGCGCATCTGCATCTGCCTCCTCACAAGCTCGCAGCTTCACTGTCTGCAAGTCTTGCGTCCTTTGACAATCCATCGCAGCCAGCCAGCCATCCATCCCCGACCGCAACCATGGCCAACATCCTCAACGGCCTCTTTGGAGGTTCCAAGCCCTCTGCATCTCCAATCCCCAGCGGTGACTCTGGTACGTCCTTTTCTCTCGTCTTCGCCGGATGCCTGCATCTCAACGTCAAAGCTTCACCCACGTCTTTCCCCTCCGCACCCACATTTCCACCTCCTCAATTGAAACTGACGCAATCTCCAACCACGCACAGATTTCGCAGACTTCGCCGGCGCTCCTGACCCGTCGCCCACGCCCAGCTCCTTCACTGCTGCCCCCGGCGGCGCGAGCCTTGCTGGTGGTGCTCCCGCTGCCACAGCCCGTCCCTACACGAAATGGTACAACATCCATGAGCGCCACTCGCTTGACGAGTTCAAGCTCGAGGGTGCCATCCTCGCCGTCAGCGCCGTCATCTTCCTTCTGCACATCATCGGCTCGCGTCTGAACCGTAGCAAAGCCAAGGCTTGGGCTACTGCTCACGCGCCGGTTCTGAAGAGCGAATTCGCGTCTGTCGGCTTCGACCCGAACCCGACGGTCGACAGCGACCCCAAGAGCACCGATGGCGTTCTCCGCGAGAAGTCTCTGTTTGAGTTCGCCAGCTACGGCACTGGACGCCAGAATGTTGCCTTTATGGACGTCAAGTTGAGCCTTACCAAGCGCTTCAACCCGGCCCTAAGCATCGTCGAGACTGTTTCCAGCTTCTTCATGGACTCTGTCGAGGCTCCCCACGACTCCCTCGAGGCTGTCATCTACCCCTTTGACGGCAAGGAGTCTCTCACCGTCCCTTCTGTCCCCGGCACCCACGAGCTGCGCAGCAAGGATAACAAGAGCACGTACGACAACTTCGTCTGGGCCATTGTCTCCAAGGACCGCATGAAGCAGGTCCGTGATGATCGCTACGATGTTTCCATCACCTTCACCAAGGACCACAACAAGCTTCCCAACTGGGTTACCGTCATGAGCGAGAGCGCCGAGATCACCGAGCAGCTCCTGACCCCTGAGCTCGTCAAGGCCGTGGAGGCCGCCGGCGACGCGTTTGACTACCTCATTGTGTCTGACCAGCCCATTCAGAAGCCCACCACGTGAGTCCATTGCTGCGCCGCAATTTCCCGCGTTTAGATGCTAACATCCTGCAGCCTGGAGGAGACCGTCCCCCGCAAGCGCGTCTTCTTGCGCTACCGCCTCCCCTCCAACAACAACTACGACTCTCTGGTGCCCCTCTTCGAGTACTTTGTCCGCATCCCCGACGCCCTCGTGTCCGGTGCCCACTTCCGTCCCGAGGTCCTCCGCAAGGTCCGCAGCATCCGCGACGAGAACATTGCCCAGATCAAGAAGGCTGCCGAGGCTGAGAAGGCCGAGGAGCGTGCCCTTGAGCGCGAGAAGCAGAAGAAGGCCAAGCGCGACGCCGAGCTCAGCGGTCTGGACGCCAAGGCTCAGAAGAAGTACCTCGAGAAGGAGCGTGAGCGCGAGCAGAAGAAGGCCCAAAAGAAGCAGACCATGCGTGGTTGAGCGACCTTTTGTCCTTTGTATTGGAAGCTGTCGAAAAAAAGTTTCTCGCTTTTTTGTGTAACGTTCTGAACAAGAAGACCATGATCTGATGTATCTGGGTTACGGGGGATAAAGGGGGCCGGCGGTGTCTATATCACGATCTAGGCTGGACGCGGATGAAGGTGTATACTGTACTACCATGAAGAAAAGCGACGGGGAGGTAACTAGCATATCTGTCAATCATAACTTAATAAGCATCATTTTACATGCATTTGAATCAACTTCATTCGAAAGATTGGTCTATTTGTCTTCAGCCAGGATACCCTCCACGCGCTTCACCTTGTCCTCGGCAGACTGCTTCTTGTCCGTTCTGATTCGTCGTCAGGTCTTGCTTCATCTGGGGGTTGGATGAGGCGGGACGTATTTACCTTGAACCGACGCGCATCGACGACTGAATCCTCACGACGCCCTGCTGATGGACGAGGGAGTGCGCCTGGCCGATGACGCGAAAGACATCGTCCCAGCTGCCCTCTGCGATTATTGTCAGCTCTGCACTTGCTCCATCGTTCACACCACGTTTCTCTCAGTGATCCCCGCAAGTTGGGGTTCTACCGCTCTCATGCCACGACGTAACCAAAGAGGGGGAGAACACCATCTTCGAGGACTTCAACCGGGGCGGCACTCACCAACGGTCGTGCCGGCCGAGTGCATGGTGTACTTGAGCCCGCTGGCCTTGAGCAGGCGCTGGACCTGGGCGACCTCGTTCGCGACGGAGACGCTGCCGGTGCCGACGGGGATGAGGCAGAAGTCGGCGTAGGCGGCGGCCGGGGTGGGGATGTTGGAGTAGTCCGTCGTCGGCGTTGACATGTTGCCGGTGGTGCTTTTTGCGTCCGTGGCACTTGATGTCTGTGAGTATGTCGAAGGATATGTTGAGCGCAACGGCGAGGAGATTTCTGGTCTCACAATGCGAATAGCTTTCAGGTTAATCGTGGAAAAGGCGCCGTAAATGTGAGGGCAGACGTCGAAAGCTTACTGCGGCATTATCCAATGATGCAATGGACTGCGGGGCTCACCCGTCCAACGAGGGGTCAACATGAGCTCATGGCTTTCCTTCTCATCACCACATATTAGCAAACTCACTAGTCACCGATTTTCAACCTGACTATTGTTCAACATTGTGATTCTTTTTTTGAAATTGACCCGTCCAGTACATGATTGTACTGTGCTGGGCATTCCTGAAAACTATCCTAATCCTCTGCTTTGATTGGTATGTGTCGTGGCCCTGACTGTGGGCGTGTGTATGTATCCTCCTCGCCAGCGGAACGTTTCACGCTTTGCTGTGCAGTAGGCCGTTGAACAAGATGTCGTGAAGAAAAAACAAAAACCCCTTTCCCGCCGGTGTTCCGGCCCATATAACGCCATCGCTATGCTTCGAATGACAAAAGGAGAGTAAAACAAGGCCGAGTGAGGAAATCTATGAAGGCCCATGATCTTCCGGTCCCTACGCAGTGTAATTGAAAAAAGTGAGTCGCGTGCTGGCGCATTGACCCTCGCAATCGCTCTCGCTCCTCTTAAAACAGGAACACGGCGGCAGCCAGGAATGCGACGAGCGCTCCCGTCTCCATGCCGCCGGGCGCGCGGCCTGCGAGACCGGCGCTGCTCGCGGTGGCGCTGTTGCTGCTGCTGCGACCGGAGATGTCGCTGGACGACAGGCCGTTAAGGTCGTCGGCGGCGTCGATGGCGGGTCCCTTGTTGAAGAAGTCGACCAGGACGAAGGTCGGCTTCTTGCCCCATTGAGAAGTGCAGGTCTGCGCGTGCAGGCCGAGGTTGCCCTGGGTGGAGGTGCTGGCGGAGTTTGTGGTGTCAATGTCGCTGACGTCCGGGATGAGGATGTCGCCGGTGAGGATCTGGTACTGGAAGTGGTTCATGAGAGGCATCATGTTGGCGGAGACGGCGGCAGAGGCGGTGGTGTAGGTTGAGGGGCGGTCGATTGTGCAGTTGAAGCCCGAGGCGGAGGTGACTTCGTAGTGCGTCTCGAAGACGTAGGCGAACTCGGGGAGGAGGTAGGGGTAGGTTGAGTCCGCGGTGATGGAGGCGACGAAGGTGACGAGGCGGGTGTTGTTCGAAATCATCTCCTGCAGGGTGGGCCAGCTGGAGGTGGCGGAGGAGGAGGAGGGCGTGTAGCCGTACTTTGAGATGCCGGAGGACTCAAAGACCTTGCCGAAGACGGAGGCGGCCTGGTTGTCTGAGTTGACGAGGAGGATGGTGACGACTTCGTTCTCGTGGGCGTCCATCCAGGTCTTGATGGAAGAGAGCCACTTCTCGAGAGTACCGGCGTCGAGGAGGGAGCAGGTGGTGTGGCAGAGCTCGAGGGTCGTGCCGGAGGTGCTGTTCACGGTGTGGACCTGGGCTTGCAGCAGACGAAGGCCGGAGTTGAGGGCGACTGTGGCATTGTAGTACTGGTTTCCTGCAATGGAGTTCGATGTGGATGCGTCGCGGAGGAAGGCACTGTCGTGAGCGCCCATGTGAGTGATGTTGTTGTACTTGCGACTGCATAGTGAGGGGGAGTTGTTGCAGGCTGTTGTTGAGTTTGATTCTGCGGAGTTGGTGGTTGAGTCGGAGACTGTTGAGGGCAGGGCGTTGACGAGAGATGTCGTCGCGAGGAGGGCCGCGAACGCTCTTCGGAGGGAAACCATGTTGATGATGTTTGCTTTTGGTATTGATGCGTGTATGTGAATGTTGAAAGGCCTGGAACCACCTTGTTGACCAAAAAGGGGTCCTTCCTCTGGTCCTTATATGTATGTTGTCTTGAGAGGTTGATCGGCAGCAGGCGTAACAATGAGGTGGTTGGCGTGGAGCAGAAACAAGAGACGAGGCAGCGGAGGAGGTTGATGAGAGGTTGTAAGCAGGGCAACGGGATGGGCGGGATACGACCAGGTAAGGTAAGGTCAGGTAGGGTATGGAAGGTAGCGGGACAGGGTATCAGGTAGCTGCTGGCCAAAGGTTAAAGAGCAAAAGAAGCAAGACGAGACTGCGATGACCTCGACTGTCGGGAAAGCAAAAGTGAAAGCGGTGCCGGATCCCCAGTCTTAATAGGCATGGGACTGAAGGAGCATCCTCGCAAGGCCAGGCCAAGGCTGGACGTGTGAGATGGGTGTGGTGTGCCCCCCATGTAAGGTGAGGTACTCTAGAAGGTGGCTACCCGCCTTACGTATTCGCCGATGGAGCATTTTTTTGAGGCTGGGTTCGATGGTGTACAGTGGTAGCGACGCTGGCCTCGGTCCAATGCCCCCAGGCGAATATCAGACAGAGCGTGCTGCGGCTCCCTCTCGCCGTCGTTGGGTGCGAAAAGCTGAACAAGATGTGCAGAAGTGCAGCGACTGGGACAGCCCAGAGCCCTTGGACCCTGTTGGTTGCGCGGCCCCCAGTCCGTACCCCGTCCCGGTGGGGCTCCGGGCGTGTGGGCGGGCTGCATGGCGGCATGGCGCAGTCGCAACTTGGCAGTTGTGCAGTACGTATTCCCGCGAACACGGCTCTTCAACCACTTTATTTTTTGTATGCTTCTGCCATGCCTGTCGCATCAAGCTTTTTGTGTCTCTCGTTTCTGATAGCCTGCCTGTCTCTCGCTTGTCTAGTCTTCATTGGCCCCTTTCCGCCCTTTCAACGACGGACGGAACAGAGATAGAAACAGCTCCAGCACACGGTCGACGGAAGTGGCATATTCTCACCACTCAGACCTGCACAGCCGCCTCGCTGTCGTCCAGTGCGTGCATTGGATTCGTAGGCAGGCTGTAAGGAGTCGCGTCAGCAAGAACGTGCAGTGCATTGGCAGACGTTTTATCCACCCAGGCTTACCACCGAGCACACAGCGCTCTTGCAGATGGGTATTGGAGGTACATCGAATGGAACCCGCCCAATGTATCTGTCGTAGCATCCCTAGCCTGTTGCCCCCCCGTTTAATGCCCGTCGCAATGCAGATCCGGCAGTGAGACGGTACAAAGGAAGGGGACCGGCTTCATCCAGATTGCTCTGGTGTCTTTCCAAGGCACTCCGTCAACTTGCCCGCTAGCCAGTCCAAAGGTTTTAGCGTCAAGGTGACACGCGCAAGACAAGAACAGGCGCCAGGCAGCGGGAACAGAAGAAGAAGAAGCAGCCAGAGGAGGGCCCGACTCCACGGACTTGAGACAGTCCCAGCTAGAAGACGGTGGTGACGGCGCTCGACATTGCTCGACGTCTCACCCTTCAAACCTTGGACGAGGCACCCTGGGACAACAACACCCTTCTTTCCCCTCTCCGTCGCAGCGGACCTCCTCGCACCGCGGCGCTACCACGTTGTCCCCTCCAGCTGTGCAAAGTAATCCGAAGCCTGGGTAGACAAAGTGGCCATCACACGGCAGAAAAAAAAAAGTGCGAGAGTTGCAGCCGCACACAACCTTGCCTCGTCTGGCTCAAGCACGCACCACACCTCCCGCGTGAGAGAAGAGGCCCTTGCTTTGACTTCCCGTCTTCGCTTCTTGTTCGGCGAGCGATCACCCCTTCACCGGCCTCCGGCTGTCGGCCGAGGCGTATGAAGCATAACGATAGTGGTGGTAAGCAAGTGCGCATAGTGGACGATCTGCGACCGCTGTATGGATGTCACCTGTAGTTTCCCCCCAATACCTATGACGTATCTACGACAGCGTTCCATTGGTGTCGGGCAGTGTGGACGATCTCTGATGGAGACCCCGACCAGCCGACCGGCCGACCGTTGGCGAGAGAAGACTGACTCCAACCTTCTTGTTCCTTCAATCTGCTGGCAGTGATGATGCATCCAGTCTCCATTCCATCACCTGCGGCAGAAATACAGGAGGTTGTGGTTGTGGTTTCATGGGGGCTCCAATGTTTCTTTTACTCAACCAACCTCTGCCTGCGCGCTGATCACCTTGTTAACCTCGCAACGACGACCCTCAGAAAAACACTGACAGCAGGGGATGACTCGTGCGGCTGTTTTGTTTCGTTCGCCTCGTCGGATTATGTGCCGTATGCGACCTTTGCAGTCAACTCTGTATGTGCATCTGTCCAGTAGCATCACTGTTGCCCAGCCGTTCCCAGCCCAGCGTTATTCCAAGTTTGGTGTTTGGCTGCATCAGACTGGGGACACAGCGGCAGACACGGGAGAGAACAGGAACAGAGTTGCAAGATCAACAAGCGTGCCCCAGGTACCCGTAAACAATCAACAAAAAAAGAAGAAGGCTGCCAGACCGCCAGGTTGTGGGATACCGTTCTCCAATATTCATTCCCAAAGCCACATGGGCTTCTCGCAACCTCACTGGTGCAAACGGCAAACGCCTGCCACAAAAAAAACAGCCACCGGCTCCTGTGCCACGAATGCCACGCAGCGGAGTCTCGAAGCCACCCAAAAAAAAAACAAGCTGCAACCTCCAAGACTCTGGCGACCGTCTAGAGACGATCATCTGAAAGGCCCCGGAATCCCAACCATGGGATTTCATGGAATTAGTGGAAACGTTCACTGGAGACGCCTGGAAAACCTGGCAGGCAAACCACATCGACCGGTCGACCATGGCCCAGACCATCGTCATCTACCATCAGCACTTGTTCCTCTCACACTCCACTGGCACCTCTCAGTACATTGAAGGTGACCTATGAATCCCATCCCGCAGGCTGTGAACCCGATGAGAGACGGGGAGGGCTGATCGGTGTGGACCCACAACGCCAGGAAAGACCCTGCCACAGAATCCCCAGCGACGATCGCCCTGGTTGCTATTTTTGACTTTTTTTCACTCTTCCACCCGTCAGCTTCTCAGCCACCACCCCTGACTGGGACAAAATGTTTCTCTGGACTTCACGACACCGTTTTCAGGATTCAG